GGCTTTTTGAAGACTGACTGTTGTGACTGGCTGTTTCATGACTGATTGTGTTGTGACTGTCTATTTTGTGACTTGACTGTTGTGACTGACTATGTTGTGACTTGACTGTTGTGACTAGCTGTTTCATGACTAACTGTTGTGACTGGCTGTTTTGTGACTTGACTGTTGTGACTGGCTGTTTTGTGACTTGACTGTTGTGACTAGCTGTTTTGTGACTGGCTGTTCTGTGACTTGACTGTTGTGACTGGCTGTTTTGTGAGTTGACTGTTGTGACTGGCCGTTTAATGACTGACAGTTGTGACTGGCTATTTTGTGACTTGACTGTTGCGACTAGCTGTTTTGTGAGTTGACTGTTTTGACTGCCTGTTCTGTGAGTTGACTGTTGTGACTGGCTGTTTTTTGACTGTGATGTGACCGAGTTGGTTGAACAGAATTAATGCTGCGGTAATATCTCATTTTGAAGGAACAGTAACCATTAATTTGTACCAAACCACATCAGTTTTCTCATGGTGTACCTGTATTTGCAATAACATGGAAATATGACAAATCAAATTTGTGCTTCATTTCAAAATACATTAATGCTTGTTAGAAACAGTTCCCAATATCACAAATGTGCATTGCAAGACTTACAATACATCTTAATTATAAAAATGCATTTGTTTATTTATATTCCATTACACATTTACTGTGAGCTCGAGGTAATGGCAATAATACAGTAATGGTTAGATATAAACCTTAGAGGGGATCCCGGACATGGAAACTTATTTATCGACAAAGAGAATTGTAACAGAATATCTAAATCAAATTTTATTTATTTATTTGAACCAAAACATGTCTTCAAATACCCAAGAAAGGGGATCGGTTTTGGAGTGAAATGGCGACATTCTTCCAGCGAAAGTGTGACAAATGATTGGTCGTAACTGAAGCTATAGAATTCTTATCAAAATACAATTACAGATGCAATTCTGAGAATATAATGTTTGTACTCGAGACGGAATGTTATTGTAAGAATTCTATGAAAATTGAATTTCTGAAGAAAATCTAGTTTATTGATTTTTATTATCACATAATTGTACTTACAAAAACCTCTTGACAGTAAAAGGCTGTCTGACTAATCCTCACCAAGTTTTACTGTGCTTTCACTGTATAATACACTCATGTGACCTCACACAACACTAATCCTCACCAAGTTTTACTGTATAATACACTCATGTGACCTCACACAACACTAATCCTCACCAAGTTTTACTGTATAATACACTCATGTGACCTCACACAACACTAATCCTCACCAAGTTTTACTGTATAATACACTCATGTGACCTCACACAACACTAATCCTCACCAAGTTTTACTGTATAATACACTCATGTGACCTCACACAACACTAATCCTCACCAAGTTTTACTGTATAATACACTCATGTGACCTCACACAACACTAATCCTCACCAAGTTTTACTGTATAATACACTCATGTGACCTCACACAACACTAATCCTCACCAAGTTTTACTGTATAATACACTCATGTGACCTCACACAACACTAATCCTCACCAAGTTTTACTGTATAATACACTCATGTGACCTCACACAACACTAATCCTCACCAAGTTTTACTGTATAATACACTCATGTGACCTCACACAACACTAATCCTCACCAAGTTTTACTGTATAATACACTCATGTGACCTCACACAACACTAATCCTCACCAAGTTTTACTGTATAATACACTCATGTGACCTCACACAACACTAATCCTCACCAAGTTTTACTGTATAATACACTCATGTGACCTCACACAACACTAATCCTCACCAAGTTTTACTGTATAATACACTCATGTGACCTCACACAACACTAATCCTCACCAAGTTTTACTGTATAATACACTCATGTGACCTCACACAACACTAATCCTCACCAAGTTTTACTGTATAATACACTCATGTGACCTCACACAACACTAATCCTCACCAAGTTTTACTGTATAATACACTCATGTGACCTCACACAACACTAATCCTCACCAAGTTTTACTGTATAATACACTCATGTGACCTCACACAACACTAATCCTCACCAAGTTTTACTGTATAATACACTCATGTGACCTCACACAACACTAATCCTCACCAAGTTTTACTGTATAATACACTCATGTGACCTCACACAACACTAATCCTCACCAAGTTTTACTGTATAATACACTCATGTGACCTCACACAACACTAATCCTCACCAAGTTTTACTGTATAATACACTCATGTGACCTCACACAACACTAATCCTCACCAAGTTTTACTGTATAATACACTCATGTGACCTCACACAACACTAATCCTCACCAAGTTTTACTGTATAATACACTCATGTGACCTCACACAACACTAATCCTCACCAAGTTTTACTGTATAATACACTCATGTGACCTCACACAACACTAATCCTCACCAAGTTTTACTGTATAATACACTCATGTGACCTCACACAACACTAATCCTCACCAAGTTTTACTGTATAATACACTCATGTGACCTCACACAACACTAATCCTCACCAAGTTTTACTGTATAATACACTCATGTGACCTCACACAACACTAATCCTCACCAAGTTTTACTGTATAATACACTCATGTGACCTCACACAACACTAATCCTCACCAAGTTTTACTGTATAATACACTCATGTGACCTCACACAACACTAATCCTCACCAAGTTTTACTGTATAATACACTCATGTGACCTCACACAACACTAATCCTCACCAAGTTTTACTGTATAATACACTCATGTGACCTCACACAACACTAATCCTCACCAAGTTTTACTGTATAATACACTCATGTGACCTCACACAACACTAATCCTCACCAAGTTTTACTGTATAATACACTCATGTGACCTCACACAACACTAATCCTCACCAAGTTTTACTGTATAATACACTCATGTGACCTCACACAACACTAATCCTCACCAAGTTTTACTGTATAATAGACTCATGTGACCTCACACAACACTAATCCTCACCAAGTTTTACTGTGCTTTCACTGTATAATAGACTCATGTGACCTCACACAACACTTATCCTCACCAAGGTTTACTGTGCTTTCACTGTATTATAGACTCATGTGACCTCACACAACACTAATCCTCACCAAGGTTTACTGTGCTTTCACTGTATAATAGACTCATGTGACCTCACACAACACTAATTCGGGTTTGGTCCCTGTCGGAAGCACACTACTCTCTTTCCTGTTACAATAATAACACATGTTTACCTCTCATATGTAGATACTGAAATATAATGAAATACATATACTCTTACGTAAATTTACACACGTATACCTATATGCATATTTTAAATATTTTCTTAACCCTGCAAAAACATGAAAATCTCTTTATAACCTTTTTTGTGGCTTCGCCCACGAACAAAGTAACAAAAATGATTCTGAAAAATTGCACTGGTAACTATTTTAGCAGGTTATGTTCCAAGGCAGCATGATCTCCTTACATCAATTACGGTAAAAGCTTTTAATCTTTTCACACAGTTTATACACACCGCAGGCACTCCTACCTTCACTAAATTATCTATCAAGCACCCTATTCCCTTCCTACCTGTTTAAATTCCCAAGGAGGGAGACGGGGTTGTGACACCCTGCTATATGTGGTATTTCTGTACTTTTTTTAGGCTAAATGCAACATCCCTTTTACGAAGATCTAAAACATATAGTACATGTAAACTGAATTATCATTTTTTCCATGAGCACATTTGAGGTTTTAGAATTGCAGCCACAAACACAGTGTTCTGAATAGAAACGGAGAGAAAGCTATCTCTGCTGGGGAACAATTAAAATGGATCTGATTTCAAGTGCCATTCAAAGACTATTAAAGGCCTCTTTCATCCTCATTCAATAACATTCTGAACATTATATTTTTTTAACTGAAATTCTGTATTAAACCTTCCCACAAATTAAAACAAATGTTCAAATGCAGAGCCATCAACAGCTAACTGATAAAATCAAATCAATGGCCTCTCCTCCTACACTTGTAACAGTGGAGGGCTTTGAGAGAATATTGATATCGCTACAGTAGCTAATTTCAATGTGCATGTCACTGTTGCCCCAGTCAGTCGTCAACAGATCTTTTGTCAAACCTGTTAGTTTGGAAATCCAATTGACTGATAGACAGGTTAACTCTTTGTGAATTAGCGAGAGAAAGATCTCCTTTTTATTTCACACTCTTTACATATTGCTGTCTTGAGGGAAATCAGGGGCGTGAAGGTCTAAATCATCTCACTGCGATACCTCGGTGTTGTCCGTCTGTTTTGGTCCGCAGTGAGGTTCGCTGCCATTGACAGCTTACCAGGCACACAGTGGTGTGATCAATAGTAGTTTAGGTAGAGGGACACTGTGTGATCAATAGTAGTTTAGGTAGAGGGACACTGTGTTCCCAGCCGTTCACACGACACTTAGTAACACTACCACTATTTCAAAAACATGGTACAAACAATCCGTAACTATTTCTGGAATAGGTCTGAACTTCTACTTCTGAAACAGTAGGTCGTCCCGAAGGATTTCAGACGATTCTTGGTCAAAATTGTACTTATTATACTGAACTCATAAAAAAACAAAAGCTTTGGTCATATAACAAAATAGGGAAGGAGGATATAGCATTTCACTGAAAACATTGAACAGTTTTCAACGTTGATGAATATCTAACAAACAAAGATTGCACATTTCCATAAACCTTTACTTAAAACACTTACTATATATTGAAAAGAATATCATTGGCCATGAATCTTGGTAACATGACTTTTCCTTAAAACTGCATACCTTAGATTTGGACCAGAAATGTCTTTTATGACCTACTTTGGATTTGGGCCGACTATGTGTTGTAATGTGTAGCGGCTACTTTGTTTGTGTTAGGGGGTGGGGCACCTGTTTGTGTTAGGGGGTGGGGCACCTGTTTGACAAAATTGCGACTTACCTTGCGTTTGTTGCGTAGCGTAATTTTTACACCATCAGTTGATATGTTCAGGTACACTTTCTTTTTCTTGATTGCTTTGGCCTTGAATTCATACTGTAACAGACATTAATCACCACATGGAGTGAAGCTAAACCTGACACAGTAACAATGTAACTATGAGTAATTACATAGAAATCTCTGTCAGAACATCACACTGTATCACGCAGAAATCTGTATAAATCAGGCATTATACAATACAGAAAATGTAATACCATCCTCAGTCAAGATTTATAGTAAATCAAAATCAAAATCAAATAATAAAAATTAAAAAATTATAGTGGTTCCATTTCATCAGACTATTTCGTCTTCATGCAAACATACCAGCTTTTCATATAAATCACGAAAATATTTAATCTCTTAAGAATAAAACTGAACATGAAATATTTATGAGATCTCATAAACAGCCGACAAATATGCTAGCTAACTGATAATAACTTTGCCGTATCAGTGAAACCCTTGGTATCGGTAAGACATTGATATCAGTATAACCCTGGGCGAGAAAACATCTACTGGAGGACATGTATTCTCCAAATCCAAACTGTTACGTAATATAGACGATGATTTACACGTTAGAAGCTGCACCCATTAAATTTTATCTTCAGCTGATGTATTCATGCATGATGCTGCAAAAGCCTATTTAGTTAAAATTATGGTATCGCCTGTTTGAGCAGCAACGCTAGGATATCTACAGAACGCTTATTGCTTTTGTAATTTAAAGGACTTGAGACAGCTCATTTTCTAAAAATCAGAAATTTATTTCCCGACATCAGAAAATTGTTAATCAGAAAATGTCCTGAAGGTGAATTTTACAGAATCCGAACACCCTATCCTGTAAAATATGAAAGGTAGTCAAACAGTTTATGACTCTTCAAAAATTCATTGTGATTCTTCCATATGACTCTGATGATGCATCTTCAACATCCATAAACAAGAGGCCCAATGGGCCTGAATCGCTCACCTGGTGTTAATTTCACACTTATTATCTTAAAAGTGGACTAAAATACAACTACAGGCAGAATATCAGTGTTTGATTAATAAGAACCTATTAAAATAGTTAAACATAAGACACCCGTGACCTTGAATGTCAAACAAGGTCATTAGGTTGAACAGAATTTATGGTCTTCCAACCCAGTATGCTTCTGGCAAAATATCATTACCCTGGACTTTTTGGTTATACAGAACAAATCATTTAAAGATTTAAACATATATTGACCACTGTGACTTTGAATATGGGCGAAGGTTATTTATTTGAAAAATTTGATAACCCCTTTATCACAGCATGTTAATGGCCAAATGTCATCACCCTAGGCCTCTTGGTTATTCAGAAGAAGTTGTTTAAATGTTTTCAACATATTTGACCTCAGTGACCTTGAATATGTTTCAAAGTCATTCGTTTGAACAAAGTTGGTAGCCCTTCATTCCAGCATGTTTGGGCCAAATATCATTATCCTAGGCCTCTTGGTTATTAAGAAGAAGTTGTTAAAAAGGTTTTAAACATATTTGACCCCTGTGACCTTGAATATAAATCAAGGTCATTTATTGGAATAAATTGGTAGCCCTTCATCCCAGCATGCTTCTGGCCAAATATCATCACCCTAGGCCTCTTGGTTATTTATAAAAAGTTGTTTAAAGATTTTAACATATTTGACCCCTTTGACCTTGAAAATAAATCAAGGTCATTTATTGGAATAAATTGGTAGCCCTTCATGCCAGCATGCTCCTGGCCAAATATCATCACCCTAGGCCTTTTGGTTACTGTGAAGGCCTTTTGGTTACTGTGAAGGCCTTTTGGTTACTGTGAAGAAGTTGTTTAAAGTAAAAAATTGACGCCGGACGCCGGACACCGCACCATGCCATATTAAGCTCACTTGGCCCTTCGGGCCAGGTGAGCTAAAAATGACAATAATATGTTTAGTGTTACAAAACACTAGCCTCCTTGTATACTGGTGTCATTGTGATACTCATTAAACATACATAGACCTGTTTTGAAGTCAGATAAGAATAACATCAAAACTGGATGGTCACCAATGGCTATCTGACAAAATTATGTTCCTGAAAGGTCATGGTGGGGTCAAACACGTACCATACTTGATGCCTAATTAAGCAAATGCATTCAATTTATATAGCATGTACTTCTTGACTGGGTCAGTTTGGAAGCTGTAGATTTTGTGCTTAGTGAGAAATGCAGTTTAAATATTGTAACATGTGATTTTTGAATGGGCATTAGCTTGTCGGTGGCCTTTTAAGGAATATTTGTGCCAAGTTTGGAGTCAATTGCTGCAGTCACTCTTGCGTAGAAGTAAAAAATGTCTCGGTAAATTAAATCAGAGATAAAATGGCCATCTTGGATTTTTGGGTCAACATGAAATTGTCATCATATGCTGAAAAACTCCCAGGAACATTAATTAAGGTTGGAATCAATCACTGTAGCTATTGTCAACAGGAGATCAAAATTTTCACAGCAAACGAGAGGCTCTAGTAGCCTTTTTTGGATTTTACTAATAACATGAACAGTACCAGGTCTGGAGTTGAAAATGTTTAACTATTAACTTCAATGGTTCTACAGAAAAAAAATGAAATCATTAAATTGTTAGTGTGGAACATGATTTAAGACATACCAGCAGCTTATATGTGATGAATGATGTGAACTAAAAAACAGTTGGACTGGTGTGTAAAACAAAGCTGCCAGGGTGATTTTCATGTTAAATGTGGCACATGTATAACAAATGTTTTTTGAATTATCAATAATTCATTTTAAAATAACATTGATCAAAAAAGCGTAAAGGTATTTTCAAAGTAAGAGCTGGACTCATTGAACAGACATGAATCCTGATCACTACCGTAAAGGACCTATTACTGTAATTATTGTATGATTTATATTTGTAGTCGGCCATGAATCTTACACAACAGGGCGTGTTGTGGTGCTGGGTATCTCCAACACTAACAGACATATACTTTATATCGTATCTGACATCATAATGACTGCTGTCCTAACCACAAACTCACACCGACACTTGCTCACAAACCTTGTCTGGAGTAGGAGTGAAATCTTGTCTGTAGTCATAGGAATTATTACAGACATGGACTCACAGCCAAATCTTATCTGCTGTTTACACACACCAGAATGTTTAACAGAATTAACTTTCAGGTTTAAGACAAGCAAAAGCTGCAAGTTTTTTTTGTAAATCAATAACAGATTCTTGGAGCAAATCTCATACCATACTCTAAGTTTTTGTTCATGGTACAGGTAAAACATCTTCTCAGAGACCACCCTTAATATGCCAAAGTAATTATAATGGAGATAAAGTGTTTAAGAATAATAAGGGAGGCAACTCTACCATAAAATTTAAAATCTTACCCTGATTCTGCGCATGGCTGCCACAATTTCGACACGACTGCTTGGTCTAGGCACATCCAGTGTCCCAATATACTGGAAAATACACAATGATACATTAGCCATGTTAAACAATTTAAGGTAGATTGGAATTTGATATTTAATTGTTATATATTTTAAGGGTAATATTTTTTTTGGAACATTACCCCAGCTTCCGTTTGAGCTTTATAAATACAGTCTGGTTTTGTTTTGTTTGCTGTTCAACATTTCTGACACATATTTTGAGATGTCATCATACCCAGGTCAAACTCACAATCAGGGACATAAACAACATACAATAAGCTTTGTCCTAAAGTAATTCCTCACAAACCAAGCATGCACTTAAAAAGGTAAAGCGTTTCCACTTAATTTCAGTATATTATTTACAGGTAGTTTCACTTCGTTCATAGGAAAAAGGAGCCAAACATTTAGAAATACACTACATTTGTATACAACCAACCAGAAGTAAAACAATGATATTTTTATGTATATGAAACGTTAGATTTTCCAAACAGTTATTTTCCTTGAAAATCTTTTAATTTTTACAGCTAAAATTGTGAGATCTTTATCAGTGTATAATTTTGTACCTTTGCGTGTGTCTGATAAATTCATCATCCAAATCTAAGTTACCATTCCTAGAACATCATGGATTTATTTTGGAGAAAAATGAAAAATATTACAGTAAGACAGCATTTCATCACTCTTGTCCTTTAGGCCAAATCAATTTAGGAAGGTGATAATGGCAGTGTACTTTGTTCTATCTACACAGATCTATCCATGTAAACAGTGCACACAAGCAAACCCCAAACAGAGTATCTACATGTAAACAACCTGTATATATATATATAAGTACACATGTAAACACATGTAAACACATGTACAAAGACTGTGTTCTACATCACAAACACATGTTAGCAGGCTGTCACTGTACTTTATATTACCCTCCAGTATACCACATTGTGATACATTAAACATACATGTGTACATCCATTTACAACAGCTATGGACAGCTATATCGTTACATTATTGATGTCACTGTGCAGGAGAAACTGATACATTTTGTCACATTTTCCATATCAAGTTTCAAGGAATTCCCTTGCTGATCAAGAGCTTAAGATTCCCATAATAGATTTTCTTTGAACTGAAAATTTTAATAGTTCACCCTTTCCTAACTTAAACTACCTATAAGGTCTTTGTTCTGTTGGAGCTAGCCTGATAGATAATGGTATTCAGATTCCAGCATCCAACACTTCTTTGTTAAGAGCAAATTCAGAAGTAGAAAAACTAGAACTATAACCCAAAGGCTAAACAAGAGGCCCAATGGACCTGCATCGCTCACCTGGTATAAATCTCACACTTGTAACCTTAAAAGTGATCTAAGATAAAGCTACAGGCAAAATACCAGATATTTATGATTAAAATTAATTCAAAAGTCCCATTTTTGTTTTTTTAAACATTTCACCCCTGTGATTGAAAGTCGAATAAAGTCATTATGTTGAACACATTTTATAGCCTTTCATCTCAGGATGCAACTTCCAAAGTATCAACATCCTGGGAACCCATGGTTATTCAGAAGAGGTCGTTTAAAGATTTTACAAATTTGACCCCTGTGACCTTGAATAAAAGTCAAAGTCATTCACTTTAACAAACATAGTAGTCCTTGATCCCAGCATGCTACTGATTAAATATCAACATCCTGAGTCTTTTGGTTATTCAGAACAAATTGTTTAAATATTTTGAACATTTTTGCTCCTTGTGACCTTGAATATGATTTAAGGTCATACATTCAAACAAACTTGGTAGCCCTTGATCCTAGTATGCTACTGACTGAATTTCATCACCCTGGGCATTTTGGTTATTCAGAAGAAGTTGTTTAAAAAATTAAACATATATGACCCCTGTGACCTTGAATATGGGTGAAGGTCATGCATTTGAACAAACTTTGTAGCCCTTCATCTCAGCATGCTACTGGCCAAATATCATCACCCTGTGCATTTTGGTTATTCAAAAGAAGTTGTTTAATGTTTTTCACAGATTTGACCCCTGTGACCTTGAATATAGGTGAAGGTCATTCATTTGAACAAACTTGATAGCCCTAGCCTTTACCCCAGCATGCTACTGGCCAAATATCATCACTCTGGGCATTTTGGTTATTGAGAAGAAGTTGTTTAAAGTTTTTAACATATTTGACCCCTGTGACCTTAAATATGGGTGCAGGTCATACATTTGAACAAAATTTGTAGCCCTTCATCTCAGCATGCTACTGGCCAAATATCATCACCCTGGGCATTTTGGTTATTGAGAAGAAGTTGTTTAAAGTTTTTTTAAGACAATTGACCCCTGTGACCTTGAATACAATTGAAGGTCATTCATTTGAACAAACTTTGATAGCCCTTTACCCAAGCATGCTACTGGCCAAATATCATCTCCCTGGGCAGTTTGGTTATCGAGAAGAAGATGTTTAAAGTTTTTAACATATTTGACCCCTGTGACCTTGAAAATGGGTCAAGGTCATTAATTTTAACAAAATTTGTAGCCCTACATCCCAGTTTGCTTCTGGCCAAATATCGACACCCTAGGCCTTTCGGTTATTAAGAAGAAGTCGTTTAAAGTAAAATATTGACGCCGGACGCCGGCCGGACGCCGGACGCCGCGCCACGGCATAAGCTCACTTGGCACTTCGTGCCAGGTGAGCTAATAATATGTACCCCCCGCTCGAATATAAACTAGAACTGTAAGCTAAAGGCTTACTAAGGAAAAGCATTGCTGACTATAAGAATTTTATCTTTTATCCATTAGACAGTTTATCTCTGGATACTTATGTAAGTGTACTTTTAAAAGTGTTCAATATAAGTTCATCATTTTTTCCATAGTTCTTGTTAAATTAGATTTGGTATAGTTTAATTAATATTGTAAATGAAATTGACAGGCTCACCTCTGAGACTTAAACTAATACATCTATCACTAGGGTCATTGTTAGAAAACTACACAGAGGGAAGTAACTGACCAGGCTCCAGGATCATGCAAACAATCTTAGACTTAAGTTTTTGATTAGCCAATCACATAGGACATCAATTTGTTATGACATCATCTGTAGGTCAAGTCTAAAGTTAAGACAAATTTAGGCTTAAAATGATTTCTTGATCTCAGGGCCTGAAAGAGTCAACAGTGATACCAATAACACGATACCATAAACAAGACTATTCTACATCAGCGACAAGGAACTGCTGAGATCAGCACAGATTTGTAGGGATGCACAAACATAACTAACACTTATACTTGTAAAAGAAACATTTATATTGATTTACCATTCATAGATAACTAAAGAGAGGCCTGATTTAAGCCGATCTTTATAACTTCTTCCTTCTTCTCGAACAACACATTCCAAGGCAAAAACCTGTTCTGGCACTTTCCCATTAAACACTGTATCACTGCTTGAACAGTTATGTCCCTTCCGCTTTAAACATTGTTCAGACGTAAAACATTAATTGTATCTAATTTGCCAAGGGAAAACATAACCTTGCAACATGGCACAGAACATCCATTTATTTCACTTAAAAAACACCCCTACAAACGATGTGTATATGTTGGCGACAAAGCAGTTCCACACCGACAGTGAACAGGGCTCTCATTGTTTGAGGTGGATAATGGTGGATAATAAGTAAAAATGTGCCAGTTTTTCTTCAATTATCCAATCAGGATGATCATGAATGATAATGCTGTATGAAGTGTAAAGTAATGATTCGTGCCTTCAGTGAGGCCATAGTTTTCTCCAGAGCTATTTAAAGTGATTTTCAAGTGACTTTTATATAACAGCTTGCCATAGTTGAAACAGCCATAAAGACAAACTTTATGTCTTGTATTAAAATGGAAACTGTCATCTACAATTTTTTTTACAGAGATTAATGTCCTTGGCACACTTTTGTAAACGATGTGTCTGTAAATTTTATTTCCTCCGGAGATGATCTGTTTTACAAATTTGACTGTTTTATTATTTTTACAATGAATTTCACCAATTCATCATCCATATGTGTCCTGCATTATAACATTGCAAAAATAGAAGCAGCATCTCTTTTTTTAATAAAATACTGCATATTCAATGACATATGCTGACGTATTTTTTCTGAACAATATGTGATTAAAATGTTCTGTTTCTTGACAGTTACACTCTGAGGTGATAATGAAGTAACACATCTTTCTTAATGATCAAATACAGGCTACATTGCTATTATATCAGCTACCAGTACCAGGATAAAATCATTAGTAGAGGTTGTCAGTGTGAAAATATGCTTAAAAAGATGTTGGTATAATGACCTTGCTCATTTATTTTACTTTGCTTGAGAGTTTCCTCAGCTATGAGATGTTTCATACAAGTCAGATAGTAGGCAGATACATCAATAACTTTGTCCTATCAATGGAACATCCTTATACAACTTAACAGTCCAGAAAGGTTATAGATTTAATTTTCTGAAACAAAACCTTATTCAATTACATATTGGTTAAGAGAAAGCTTGCATCTAACTAAGTTAGTTTGTAAAGGTTACCGAAATGCTAAATTTTAACTCAATAGAGACACGATATTGTGAGGCTATCAATTACAAAAAGTCGTATCGGTACTACAGACAGATATGTTATTTATGTTTCCTTTAAATAACCACTAGAAATCAGAAATAGGCTCCATCTACGTCAACAACGCAGGCTGTATACAGCTGTGTATGTCCTATCTGTCTGCTGCAAATCAGATTTTGTTAAGATTAAACAATTGATATTCAACCTATTCAACCAAATCTTAAATGCATATATGTACATGTACCTTGTCCCTCTCTTGATACAGTCTGGTAGGGCTATAGGAGACATCAATACCTGAACAGTATTTGGTTTAAATTAACCTAGCAGAAGTGAGATTAAGTCAAAACCTTCCCAAGAAATCAGAGGAAAGGGTTAATCTATTTTGGATTTCAAATTAACTCCAAAATTGCAGGTACCTGCATGTTCAGGACCATGTCTCATTATTAAGATCAAGTTTGGCTATGATTTGCCTGGGGTAGAAGTTGAAA